TCATTTCCTTCAAATACTGAAGCAACTGGATCAGCACGAAGCTTCTACTGGGTAGAGTGAAATCTCAAATGATTGCTTACCAACCACCACCGGAGTCAAATCGTGGGTTGAAGTGAAGTGCTTTATTATCCATATGATCACCCTGAATCAAGAGGCCGCAACATAAGTCGATATGAAACCTGAACGGCTCAGAAAAATAATTCAATACTCCGATGGACTGCTGACTTTTGAAATGAAAAGATGTATAAAGACGAGGTAACGAAGTAGGACGACGAGAATCCTTTTTAACAAGAGTGATGATTTAGCGAGAAAAACAGTATGGCTAGGGTAAAGTTATACGACAAACCTTTTTGTATCACTAGCGAAAGACTGTAACACCATACCACTCACAACGATCGCACGACCAGGAAAAAGACCACCCACAATCGCTGACACGAACGGTAGCTCCTTCAATAAGAATAAAATTAAATGTAACACATTAGCATTATTTTACACAGCAATAGATATTGTACCTTGATGCATTGCTTACTAATTCTTGAAGTTATCTATTCCATTAATCAAAACTTATGAGTTTTTCCAGAAAACGCTACAGTACCAATTAACGCTGCAGTTAGTGATAGCAACTCATAACCCAATACTAATCTCCCCCAACTTAACCACAGCCCCATAGTTCGGAAAAAAACCTTAGATTATGGGCACAAAGACTTACAAAAAAGTTGCTTAAAACCCTATTCAAACCGGTCACATAAATTATAAACGCCAAATCCTAGTGTGAGTTGAGGAAAAGCAAAGAGGAATACATACAAGTTCAAGAAAAAAATGACATAGCGTTTGATTCTTATTCTGTTCCCAAATGTTTTCTAGGCCTGAATGATCTGTTATTAAAAGCAAGCCTGAACTCAGATGCCACTTATAAGCCTCTTTTACCTCTATTACGATATTGTGGTAGGGAGCTGTACGCCCTTCAGCGCGGTGTGTGTCACCATCGAATCTTGATGAAAATTAGTCCTAATTAAGCCCAATTAATTTCACGATTTGATGTCATGAGGCTCTATACCGATATTACGGTAAGTGCCTGCTCAGCCAGAGCCATATATATTACACCCCACAGGTAATGAAACTACGAACGCAAACTCAATGGTACTTTGGAAAGAGTCATTAAGGCCTAAAAAAGACTTGAAACGAAAAGTGATTAGCAATTAAACGTGATCACATTTCACATCCTGTATATGAGCTTACTTTAAAGTTCAAAAAGTGATTTGATGTTCGGCAGGATGTGGAGAAAAGGATAGATAAACTAGGACGACCTATAGCGAATTTGTATAAGTTTAATACAAATGTTGCTTATATATGAAGAAACAATCGCCCATTCCTTAAAGTTATTAAAAGTAGATTTATCATATGAAATCGATTGAGCAAAGGGCCTATAGAAAAAATAATAAAATCTTGCTCGCAGCTTCAGCTCGAGAATATTAACGTGCATGGGAAAGTGAAAAATAAACATTTTTAACAAATTCGACCTCCTAAACTCATCCAATAACAATTTCCACCATTACACTAGCATGCATTCTAGTTAAGACCGAATATTCAAGTTCGGATAAAATATTCGAACATTTTTCATAATTTAAATATTCAGTAGTGGAATAGTCTAATAAGCCCATAGGTTTTTCGAATAGTCAAATATCCAAATGCACTGACACTGTCATTAGAATCATATTAGAATATATTGAATATATATTCAACATGCCCGTTAATTTGATGACTCGAATATTCGAGTATAAGGATCCCCACTGTGCAAGTATTTAAATTCAACCATATTTTGAATGGCGACTCAAACAACGTTAATTCGTTCGAGGATTTTGATTGCGAACGAGTATTCAATATTAGTTCATTCGATAAAATTTTCTAATGCTTCAACTATAGTATGCATTTTATAGGAACCAGACAGTATATTTAGCCGTGAATTAAACAGAACCTAATCCTAACCAATCGGAAAACGAGATCTCGTGGAGGATGTATATAATTTCTTCTGCATTCCTCAAGTTCCAAACACTTGAAATTCTTTCGCGTAAGAAAACAACGTCCTTGAAGGTTTTTTTAACTGAAAGACACTCGAAAAGCCTTCTTTTTCACTATTACTAATGTTCTGTTGTTCATTTCCCGTCAGAAGACAAACATGAATTTATTTTAAAAAAATGGTAAATAAAGTTGTAGCTGTTCTTGAAAGACCATTACACAGAATGTCTGCACCTTTTTATTGAGCAGACAAAGAAATTCGTGTGATTATATGTAAATTTGTACAAAAACCTTCTACTTCCTATTTCTTTTTAAAAGAAACAGTATGAAAAGTTGACACCAACTGAGACCAGATAACTGAACACGCATGTGAACCTAAAAGTAAATTTCATGACAATTAAGAGCATTAATGTCAAAACCAAGACTCGAACATGAATATTCAAGTAGCGTTCAACGAGGAATATCGATCATTATGTTGCAGCATTGATTCTTTTGGGGGGTTTCAAAAAGATTGGACATATGAATAAACTGAGATACAAACATGGTCGTATTTATTTTTCTGTTAATGTAAAGGCAAACATGAAGTTGGTTTGCACAATTCAATAACACCAAAAAAAAGTCTCGCTCTTTTAAACTGGAACTGCGCTCCCTAAATCTACTCCTTGGTCAAGAGAAAGAAAAAATTCTTGTTCTTCAACTTTTCATCATATTCATGTAAGCTGGTGATTAAAAACCTTTACATTTTGCACTTCAAATCCAAACATTATTTGCTAACTGCTCAAAGAAAACGCAAGGATATTGCAAAATATGTAAGAAATCAGCTACTATTTACAACAAAGCACAAATGTGAAGCATTCAAAGAATCGAAGCAAAAAAATGATTGGGGTAACCCACCGGGTTTCTGCGTATCCAATATGAGGGCGCATCCCAGTTGTGAATATACATTACATTGGTGGAATATGTTTGCTTCGAACGTTTAGAGGATGATGAGGAAGGATTCAGACTAAACATCTCACGGCATTAAAAGCAAACTCCGCCAACGGAGTGAAGAGAGCAATCATTCCAGTCCCTATGAAAATGCGTCAGAAAGAGTTCAATGAACGACGAAACAGCTGGAAAAGTCTGTAGACAAAAAGAAGAGCATATGACACCAAACAGTCGTTGCATTGAGTCAACAGACAATAAACGAAATGTAAGTTATGACATATTTTGTGCATCTCAACCTGCTAAACCTTG